CATAACTCAATCTTTAAGAAAATAGACTCCATTAAGTCATACAAATCCAGCAAAGTGTCGACACAATTGGAAAAGAAGGTGAACCAAAATACTAAAACCATAGGGATCCATGCACAAGGAAGAGACAATGTGCTTATTAGTTGGCCACGGACGACAGCAGGCTAAATTGCGGTTAATTCTGATGGTGCTCATCGACGTAGCATTGATGTGGCTGCAGCTTACAGAGTTGAACTATGGGGCGTTTACCGTGGTCTCTAATTTGCATGGGATTTGAGGTTCTGTGAGGTATGGTTGCAAGTGGATAACAAGATAGTAAGTCCATGCAATTTCAGCTAGTTCATCTCATCCTTGTGCTAACTCGGATTTAATTCAAGCTGTTCGAGGAATGCTACAGTGGCAGTAGTAAGTGAAGATATCTCATATTTACCAAGAAAGCAGCAAGGTAGCAGACCTGTTGGCCAACATGAGATTTACTTTGGATAATAATTCTTCATTTTATGATTCGTCACCTATTGGAATCAGAAATTTGTTGATGAACCATATGTTAAGAATTTGTTTTCTCAAGATGATTAGATTATACTAAAATTTTATTTTTAAAAAAAATATTAATTTTTATAAACATTGAATATCAAAACCTAAATTTTAAAAATTCTTAAAATACTGACCCATTATGGTCTTATTTTTGCATTGAGCATATGATATTTAAATTAAATCATTTATTTAAAAAGGGGATGAAAACGGGAAAATAGCAATTATCAATTTTAATTCAATTAGTACATATTATCAAATATATATTAATCACCATTACCGTCAACCTTTTATTGAAAGCATATGATGTAAAAAGTTAATCAAAAGATTAGATCATAGTGAAAAATATTTGAAGCATGATAACAAAATAAATGAAAAAATAATCAATCAAATTCAATAGTAATTGTTCATTCAAATAGTATATATTATTCTATTCTATTAAATTGTGATTAACCACATCATCAAAGATATAAATTAATTGTGAAGAGTAAAAAAAAAAAATTACACTATTTATAGAGGTTCGGCCCTCTCTTGAGGTGCCTACGTCCTCTCCCTTAGCAAGCTAAGGAGTTTAATTCACTATTAAATAAATTTAATACAATGTGCCTTTTTAAAGGTTTAAGCACGAACCTTGTCTTTTCAAGGATAAGACACAACCTATTTAATTTTTCAAGGCTAAATTAGAACCTCTATACCTTTTTAAGGATATGGTATAACCTCTAAACACTACCTTTTAAAAGCTTAAGTAGAACCTTTTCTCTTTTACAAGATTAAAAGCAAAGATACCTCTTCAAACGGAGCTTTGCTAAGTACAAATATAGGTACAAAGATGTGTACAAGGAATGGGAATGAAAGCACAAAGAATATGAAGCTCATAAATTGCACAACATTTTACTTGGACTTTGCATTGGTAGGCTGTGGAAGAAATCTACCACCTTTTCAAAGTAATTAATACCCTGCTCAATGTACTCCTACAATTTGGAGGTTTCCTACTTATAAAAAAGACACATATTTATGAATCACTCGATTATGATTCAAAGACCTTTACAATGTCTACAAAAAGTGAATATGCTTACTGTTCTAGCTAAGCAGCAACTTTTGCAACTTTATACTTGCATTGGTTGGTAGTAGTAATCAATTCTTCACGTTGGAAAACAAGCCTAAGTGCCTATCAAATATGATGTAAAATATGAGTAGAGACAAATGGAACAATGTTTTGTTTGGATGCATACAATTTGATAATTCCCAGAACATTAAAATGGCACCCATGTAACTTTAACATCATCACATAAAGGCTTTTCAATGTCTAGAAGTAGTGAGTATGCTTACTGTTTAGCAAGCAGAAGTAGTGCTTTTTCATTCCAAAGGAAATCCGCTGCCTTTTGCATAGTGATTGATGGCCTAAAGTTCTGTTCAGCCTCATAAAATATAGACATCCTACATACAGAAAAGGCAGTTCATGAACAACCATAAACATCATCATACAAATACCACAAAAAAGAGGGTGAGATTGAGGGAAACAGTACTAGTAAAAGCATTGTCTATAAGAACACAATCAACAACATCAAAGATGTAGATCAAAGAAATTAATAAGAAACATCAACCCAATCAGCATTTGCTCTAGGTGCCATACCAAGACTTGCAATATCACAAAACATGTTTGTTACCTGTTGTAGAGGCAAGATTTGGCATTTGCATAGAGACAAAATATAGAAGAGTTAAATCCTAAAAAGAGGAAAAGGTTGAAGAAACCCTTTAAAGACAATTTTTAGAAAAGTTAAATCTACTCTTACATCTTGTAGATGCTTTTACAGCAGATGTAGGACTTCATTGTAGAGAAAATTATACGCCTTTCCATAGTAGCAGACTCATTAAATTTAGGAATCTTCTGCATATAAGAAAGGCATGCGTGTTGATGAACAAACTATAAAATCATCAGACAAGGACCTCACAATGTCTAACATACAAAAGTAGTACTTGTTTTATAAAAGGAAAAAAGGAAAGATATGATCGCCCAACCACAATCTCAAGTTGTATTAAAAGGCTAAAAAAGAGAAGATACTAGTACTTTATATGGGAAAATTTTACCTGCATAAATTTGTCTAGGACATATTTGCAAGATCTTGAGGATGCTCCGATCAAACTGAAGTCAAAAGTTTTGGCTTCCTATTATGTTAAGATAGAGAAAGGAAAGGTATAAAAGACATTGAAAAGATCGGGCTGCCCACAGGTTTCTGAGTTTTTAAAGACATTCAAAACAATGCAAGGAGATCAGCATGAATAAATCCATCATAGTGAAACACCATCCATGAACGAATAGATGATAAAAATTTGTAAAGCCTTACAAATATTGACCCAGAAACAGATTGAAAGTATATGAACAAACAATAATAAAAGGAAAGGCAACAGCAAATTACCCCCACTTATAACTCTCCCATTCCTTTGGTGTACCAATGCATTGTCAGAGGCAAAATCTCTTGTATTTATGGCATTATTAGCCCTGTTATCCCTAGTAGATCATGGTGGCAAATTGAAATTTGTTGGGTCAGATTTTGCATTTAATGATTAAAAATCTTTAGGAAGAAAAGAAGTGAAAAAGATACCAACAAGCTACCTAAAACAGAAACAAAACTGATCAAAGACTTGAAATAAATTGAAAGAGAGAAATACTTACCGGGAATCAGACCGTTTCATTATTGAATTTGGAGAAAGAGAAAAAGATTTAATATCCAATAATCTGAAAAAAATAAGAAATGAACCATGAATAAAAAAGAATACCAAAAAGCTACCTAAACCAAAATAAACTGATCAAAGACTTGAAATGAATTGAAAGAGAGAAAGACTTACCAGGAATCTGATCACTCCCTTGTTGAATTTAGAGAAAGGGAAAAAGACTTAAGATCCAAAAAAAATTTTTTAAAAAAGAAATGAATCATGAATGGAAAACGAATACGAAAAATCTGAAAGCTCATGACTCAGAAAAGGGAAAAAAGTTTAAGAATCCAAAAATCTTTAAGAAGAAAAGAACTGAAAAGGATACCAAAGACTTGAAATGATTGAAAAAGAGCAATACGTACATCGACGGTTGAATTTGGGGAAATAGTAGCGGGAGAGACCTTATATATAAAGCTAAGCCTTAACGGCGCGAAAATCAATACCTGAATCTGTTTGTTTGACTGGTTAAATTAAAAAGTAGAGCGGGTTTCTTCTGGGCCTGGGCCTGACGACTCGTCTAATCCATAAAGGATCGAAGCTGTGCGTTTTGAGTAAGAAATTGTGCCCATTTTCTTTCTTTGGACTCAACATGACCCATTTTTCCCTTTTAATGAATAAAAAGAATGTATTTTTTTGTTGAATAAAACAGAATATATTACCCCTCCCCACGAAAAAAAAAAATATTAAAAATTGAAAAAACAATATAAACTACATCTATAGTCGTTTTCTTAATCGACTGCAAAATCGGCTAAATTTATACATCTACACATATACATTACATTGAAATTGTCCCCTATCTAAACTGTTTTAAATGAGGCTTTCTTTGAATTAAACAGTACGTTTTGCGCACCAGGTGTCCATCACACTGCACACAGCCATCTTCTTCAACTTTTCCTCAAATGCAGCCATTTTATCCAGTGTTATGAACTTATTCTTCAGGACCTTGTCTTGTTGCCATGAGAATGTTTGTAGTTATATTGGGAAGTAGCATTTTCTTTATTTCATGCCTTGAATCAGTAGAATTGTTATTTTCTAATTATGCTGAAATCAATATATTTTAAGGTTATTTAAGTTAATTATTGATAATAATAAAATTTTAACTGATAAATATACTTTCAAAAATATTATAAAAATGTTAAAATTTCCAATATTGGTGTGATCATTTAAACATCAAATTGATTAGAATCTTATGATGTAGCCCAAAAGATTATGGGCTTGAGCGGGCTTTGTTGGTCCAATAAGGTGAGTTACCAAATATATTTATGAATGTTTCTATAATCAGTTGATATGAAAATATTAAACTTGATAATGATTAAAATGTTTATTTTTGTAAACATTGATGATCAAAATTTATTTTTTTAATATTTTTAAAATACTGACCCATTATTATCTTATTTTTTTATTGGGCATATGATACTTAAACTAAATCATTTATTTAAACAAAAAGGAATGAAAAAGGGAAAATAATATTTATTAATTTTAATACAATTAGTACATATTATCAAATATATATTGATCACCCTTACCATCAACCTTTTATTGAAAGTATTTGATATAAAAAAAAGTTAATCAAAAGTTTAGATCATATTGAAAAATATTTGAAGCAAGATAATTAAAAAAAAGATAATAAAAAATAATCAATCAAATTCAACAGTAACTGTTAATTCAAATAATATATATTAATTGTTATGTAATTAACTGTTTTGAAGACATAAATTAATTGTGAAAAGTAAAGAGAAAATTTTACACACTATTTATAGAGGTTCAGCCCTCTCTCTAAGTGCCTACGTCCTCTCCCTTAGCAAGCTAAGGAGTTTAATTCACTATTGAATAAATTAAATACAATGTGCCTTTTTAAAGGTTCAAGCACAAACCTTGTCTTTTCAAGGATAAGACACAACCTCTTTAAATTTTTAAGGCTAAGTTAAGAACCTTTGCCTTTTTAAGGATACGGCACAACCTCCACACACTACCTTTCAAAGGCTTGGGTAGAACCCTTTTCTCTCTTTTACAAGATAAAAGCAAAGGTAACTCCATAAGGTGGCTTTGCTAAGGAAGTTAAATGTAGGTACAAAGATGCATAAAAGGAATCGGAGTGAAAACACGAAAAATTTGAAGCTCATGAATTGCACATCATTCTACTTGGACTTTGCATTGGCAAGCTATGGAAGAAATCTACTGCCTTTCAAAGTAATTCATACCCTACTCAATGTACTCCCATAATTTGGCGATTTCCTGTTTATAAAAAAGCCACACATATTTAGGAATCACTCTTCCATGATTCAAAGACGTTTACAAAGTCTACAAGAAGTAAGCATGCTTACTATTCTAGCTGAGCAGCAACTTTTGCAACTTTATACTTCCATTGGTTGGCTGTAGTAATCAATTCTTCACTTTGGAAAACAAGCCTAAGTGCCTAACAAATTAAATGTAAACTATGAGTTGAGCCAAATGGAACAATGTTCTATTTGGACGCATACAAATTGATAATTTCCAGAGCATTAAAAAGGCACCTATGTATATAAATAACTTTAACAACATCACAAAAAGGCTTTTCAATGTCTAGAAGTAATGAGTATGCTTACTGTTTAGAAAGCAAAAGCAGTGCTTCTTCATTCCAAAGGAAATTCGTTGCCTTTTGCATAGTAATCAATGGCTTAAAGTTCTATTCAGCCTCATAAAATGTAGACATCCTGCATATAGAAAAAGCAGTTCATGAATAACTATAAACATCATCATACAAATACCTTAAAAAAGAGGGTGGGGTTGAGGGAAACAGTACTAGTAAAAGCATTGTCTATAAGAACACAATCAACAACATCAAAGATGCAGATCAAAGAAATTAATAAGAAACATCAACCCAATCAGCATTTGGTCTAAGTGCCATACCAAGCCTTGCAATATCACAAAACATGTTTGTTGCCTACTGTAGAGGCAAGATTTGGCATCTACATAGAGACAAAATATAGAAGAATTAAATCCTTAAAAGAGGAAAAGGTTGAAGAAACCCTTTAAAGACAACCTTTAGAAAAGTTAAATCCACACTTACATCTTGTAGATGCTTTTGCAGTAGATGTAGGACTTCATTCCAGAGGAAATTTTACGCCTTTCCATAGTAGCAAATTCATTAAATTTAGGAATCTTCTGCACATAAGAAAGGCATGCATGTTGATGAATAAACTATAAAATCACCAGACAAGGACCTCACAATGTCTACAAAACAAAAGTAGTACTTGTTTTAAAAGGGGGAAAAAAGAAAGATATGATCCCCCAACCACAATCTTAAGTTGTATTAAAAGGCTTAAAAAGAAAAGATACTAGTACTTTATATGGGAAAATTTTACCTGCATAAATTTGTTTAGGACATATTTGCTAGATCTTGAGGATGCTCCGATCAAGCTGAAGTCAAAAAGATTTGGCTTCCTATTACGTTAAGATAAAGAAAGGAAAGGTATAAAAGACATTGAAAAGATCGGGCTGCCCATAGTTTTCTGAGTTTTTAAAGACATTCAAAACAATGCAAGGAGATCAACATGAATAAATCCATCATAGTGAAACACAATCCATGAACGAATAGATGATAAAAATTTGTAAAGCCTCACAAATATTGACCCAAAAACAGATTGAAAGTATATGAGCAAACAATAATAAAAGGAAAGGCAACAGCAAATTACCCCCACTTATAACTTTCCCATTCCTTTGGTCTACCAATGCATTGTCAGAGGCAAAAACTCTTGTACTTATGGAATTATTAGCCCTGTTATCCCTAGTAGATCATGGTGGCAAATTGAAATTTGTTGGGTCAGATTTTGCATTTAATGATTAAAAATCTTTAGGAAGAAAAGAAGTAAAAAAGATACCAACAAGCTACCTAAAACAGAAACAAAACTGATCAAAGACTTGAAATAAATTGAAAGAAAGAAATACTTACTGGGAATCAGACGGTTTCATTGTTGAATTTGGAGAAAGAGAAAAAGATTTAATATCCAATGATCTGAAAAGAAAAAAAAGAAATGAACCATGAATGAAAAAGAATACGAAAGAGCTATCTAAAGCCAAAATAAATTGATCAAAGACTTGAAATGAATTGAAAGAGAGAAAGACTTACCAGGAATCTGACCACTTCCTTGTTGAATTTAGAGAAAGGGAAAAAGACTTAAGATCCAAAAATTAAAAAAAAAAAAAAAGAATGAATCATGAATGGAAAACAAATACAAAAAATCTAAATGCTAATCACTTAGAAAAGAGAAAAAAATCTAAGAATCCAAAAATCTTTAAGAAGAAAAGAACTGAAAAGAATACCAAAGACTTCAAATGAATTGAAAAAGAGAAATATGTACATCGATGGTTGAATTTGGCGAAATAGTAGCGACAGAGACCTTATATATAAAGCTAAGCCTTAATGGCGCGAAAATTAATACCCGAATCTGTTTGTTCGACCGGTCAAATTAAAAAGTGGAGCGGGTTTCTTCTGGGCCTGGGCCTGACGCCTCGTCTAAGCCATAAAGGATCGAAGCTGTGCGTTCTGAGTAAGAAATTGTGCCCATTTTTTTCTTTGGACTTAACATGACCCATTTCCCCTTTTATTTTAATAAAAAGAATGTATTTTTTTATTGAATAAAACGGAATATATTACCCCTCCCCACAAAATAAAAATAAAAATATATTAAAAATTAAAAATAAAATTTAAACTACTTCATCAATCGTCGTTTTGTTAATCGAATGCTAAATTGGCTAAATCTATACATATACACATATACATTATATTGAAATTATCCATTATCGAAACAATGTGCTCCGAATAGCTGTTTTAAATTAGGCTTCCTTTCAGTTAAACGGTGCGATTTGCGCACCAGGTGTCCAGCACACTGCACACAGCCATCTTCTTCAACTTTTCCTTAAATGCAGCCGTTCTATCCAGTGTTCTGAACTTATTCTTCATGACCTTGTCTTTGTTGCCATGAGAATGTTTATAGTTATATTGGGGAGTAACATTTTCTTTATTTCATGCCTTGAATCAGTAGAATTGTTATGTTCTAATCATATTGAAATCAATATACTTTAGGGTTATTTAAGTTAATTATTGATAATAATAAAATTTTAACTGATAAATATATCTTCAAAAATATTATAAAAATGTTAAATTCTCCAATATTGATGTGATCGTTTAAATATCAAATTAATTAGAATCTTATGATGTAGCCCAAATGATTATGAGCAAATTAATTAGAATCTTATGATGTAGCCCAAATGATTATGAGCTTGAACGGGCTTTGTTGGTCCAATAAGGTGAGTTACCAAATATATTTATGGATGTTTATAAAATCAGTTGATATGAAAATATTAAACTTGATAGTGATTAAATGTTAATTTTTGTAAACATTGATGATCAAAATTTAATTTTAAAAATTTTTAAAATACTGACCCATTATTATCTTATTTTTTTATTGGGCATATAATACTTAAACTAAATAATTTATTTAAACAAAAAGGGAATGAAAAAGGGAAAATAACAATTATTAATTTTAATACAATTAGTACATATTATCAAATATATATTGATCACCATTACCATCAACCTTTTATTGAAAGTATTTGATATAAAAAAAAGTTAATCAAAAGATTAGATCATAGTGAAAAATATTTGAAGGATGATAATTAAAAAAAAAAGATAATAAAAAATAATCAATCAAATTCAATAGTAACTGTTAATTCAAATAATATATATTAATTGTTAGTTGCTTCTATTAAATTGTAATTAACCATCTTGAAGATATAAATTAATTGTGAAGAGTAAAGAGAAAATTTCACACACTATTTATAGAGGTTCGGCCCTCTCTCTAGGTGCCTACGTCCTCTCCCTTA